TTGAAATAAATATATTAGCCATTATTCCACTATTAACAAAAGAACACAACCCACGATCCACAGAAGCAGCAACAAAATATTTCCTCACGCAAGCAACAGCATCCATGCTTCCAATCTGACCTTGCCCAGTTTGCTAACTGAGGGGCGTCCGGTGGGTGGGGGGAGAGGGCCGGGGAGGGGGGAGGGGCTCAGTGTGAGCCCGGGAACTCCTTGAGGACCTCGCAGGTCTTCTTGTGCAGGACCTCGCGCAGCTTCCGAACCCGCCGGCTGCTGGACGCTCCCACGAAGCTGTCGGGCCTCAGCATGGCCATGCCGCCCTCCACCTCCCCCATGATGATGAGCGGCGTCTCGCCCACCGTCACGTTGGGGCAGGGGCAGGTCCAGTCCACGTGGAGCAGAGTGACCTCCAGCGGCTCCCGGCCCAGGAACTTGAGGCCCATCTTCTCATCCTTCAGGACCTCGTCCACCGTCACCAGGGCGCGGCCCGCGTCGGGCTCCTCGGTCAGCTCGGAGACCCGGCCCAAGATGACAAAGTCGCTCCGGCAGAAGCTGGTCACGAGCTTCTGCCGGGGCTTGCAGGCCTGGCAGCGCTGGCTGCCCCACGGGAAGGGGCAGGACTCCTCGCAGGCCTCGCGGCTCTCGAAGTTGTTGCCGTTGCCCTCGCAGCCGCCGTAGACGAAGGACTGGCACTGGCCCGCCTGGCGGTTGTAGGCCCAGCGCGGGGCGTAGGCCTTGCAGGGCCCCTGCAGGGCGGGCAGGCTGCAGGCGGCCGGCGGCCCCGTCATGCAGGCCCGCGCGCAGGCCTCGTAGGTCTCGAAGTGGTTGCGGTTGCGGTGGCAGTGGCCGAAGGTGAAGGTGAGGCAGTTGTTGGCCTGGGCGTCAAAGTGCCAGCGCGTCTGCTCCTCGCCGCAGTCCTCGCTGTCGGGGGGCTGCAGGCACTCGGCCGCGGGGAAGGCCGTGCCGTTGGGGCCGCTCTCGGCCGTGGCCGCCGCCTGGCCCCCCCGGAACACCGACAGCGGGAAGTCGGCGCGCAGGACGCCGGCGGCGTTGCGGGCCGTGCAGGTGTAGATGCCCGCGTCCTGGAGCTGGGCGTTGTAGATGACCAGCTGGCCGATGTTGGTGACCACCACGTTGCCGCGCACGTGGTTGGGCCGCAGGACCACGTTCTCCCGGTCCTCCAGCTGCTTCTCCCAGGTCACGTCCGGCCGGGGCCGGCCCACCACGTCGCAGAGGAAGCTCACGGTCTCGCCCACGGTCACCGACTGGTGCGCGGGGTGGTTGAGCAGCGCGGGGGCCGCCGCGTCCCGCCCGGGGGTCTCCGGGGGAGCGGTGGTGGGCGGCACCGTGGTCTCGGGCAGCGGGGGGCTGGTGTTGGGCCAGGTGAAGTGATAGCGGCAGGTGACCACGGCCAGCGTGATGCCCTTGGAGCAGGCCTCCGCGTCCATGTAGCAGCGGTTGTAGTAGGTGAGGCCGTCCGAGGCGCAGGTGAAGCTGGGCTCCTTCTCGCAGCGGTCTCTGCACTTGCACACGGGCTGGCCGTCCCAGATGTCGCACTCGGAGCCCTGCTGCAGGCACATGAAGTGGTCGCAGGTGGCCTCCTTGGGCATGCCCACCGGGCCCTTCTTCCCCTTCACGTCCATGTAGCGGGCCGCCACGCAGCTCTTGGTCCCACACACGTTGGGGCAGCACTTCTCGTAGGTCTCACATTCCTGGAGAGAGCCAGAGCGAGAGGCCTGAGCGAGGGGAGGGAGGGAGGACAGGCCCCACGGTTTCTGTAGAGAGAACTAGTATGTGCTCATCTTTCTTATTTTTAAAATATATTTTACTGATTTTTACAGAGGGGAAGGGAGCGGGATAGAGAGTTAGAAACATCGATGAGAAACATTGATCAGCTGCCTCCTGCACGCCCCTTACTGGGGTTTGAGCCCACAACCAAGGTACATGCCCTTGACTGGAATTGAACCCGGGACCCTTCAGTCCATGGGCTGATGCTCTATCCACTGAGCCAAACCAGTTAGGGCTCCTATTTTTTAAAAAAATAGGTTTTTATTGATTTTTCTTAGAGAGGAAAGGAGAGGGAAAGAGACAGAAACATCAGTGGCTGCCTCCTGTACTACTGGGGATCACGCTCAAAACCCAGGCATGTGCCCTGACGGGGAATAGAACCGGGGGCCTCTCTGTTCATGGGACAGCACTTAACCAACAGAGCCACACCAGCTGGGCAATGTGTGCCCGTCCATCCTGAGCAAACGTTCTGGTGATCATAGCTAATGTGCACAGAGCGCCCGCTATGCACTTGCCAGGACAAGCATGTCTGCGTTTGTCAACTTAGTCAATGCTCATCACAAGCCTATGGGTGGGTGTACCATTCTCCCCACTTCACAGGCGATGATCACTGAGGCACAGAGAGAGCAGGTGACTTGCCCAAGGCCACACAGCTAGTCCTGTGGGAAGAGCCCAGCCACAGCCCTCTTCCTGCAGAGCCTCGGGGCGGCAATGCCGAGTGCACAGGGCACGTGCGGGGAAAGGGCTCCAGGCTCCCGGGGGTGGAATTCTAAAGTGAGGTTTTACCTTCTACGTCACATGCATCATCTAGTGACCACCGATGAGGTCTAGGGGGGCACAAACGCCTCTTTGTCTTTTTTTCCCTTCGGGGTAAGGCTGCCCTGGCCGCAGGGGAGAGGTCACACCAAACGCCAAAGGAAAAGGGGGACCGAGGTTCGAGGCTGACTGCACGCACCTCGGAAGCAGCGGCTCCGATGAGAGGCCCCATCCGCCCAGAGCCCAGAGGAAGGGCGGGCGGGACAGGCCCAGGACGCCAGGTCGGCCACCACGGGCTGTGCCAGACCCCGGCGCCCACTCCCACCGCGGGGGACATTTCATGGGGAAATCAACAGGGAGGCCGCCAGGGGACTTACACGGCTGTAATTCCCTCCGCGTCTCTGTGGAGCCACCTTAGGCATTCATTCCTGGTTTAATTCCTAGAAATTAGCAGCGAGCTCAGGGCCGACACAAACAGAAAATGTCACGTGGTGTTTTCGACAATAACACCTCGTACCCACTGGGCGGTGGGCACCGCGCCCAGGCCTCTGCCCTGGTAGTAGCTCTGTGAATTGCTCCCCTCGAGGGCTGGCCTGTCGCGGTTCCAACGTTCTTTCAGCCTCTGACATTCCGCATCAGCTAAGAGGGGGACGGCCCCCGCCCGGAGCCCGCCTGCCCGGCTTGTTTACAGTTTTCCCCTCTCGGCTCAGAATGGGGACTTTGTTTTGCAGCCCTTGCTTGGCATAGGCTTCCAGGCCGTGCCGGGGAGGCCTGGGGACAGGGCTGGGCAGACCTCAGAGCTGGGGTCTGGGGGAGAAAGGCCTGGTGGGGGATTGAGCACCAAGAACCGGCCCCTCGGCCAGAGCGTCATTCCATTCCCTAAGGGACGCAGATCCCTGACAGGGGGGGTCCCCAGCACCTCGGGGAGGGTGTTTTGGGCACGAGGAACCTGGAGGGGATCCTTAAGGCCCAGAATGGACCCATAGGCCGCCTGAGTCTCCAGCCCACACAGGTGCCTTCTTTCCCAGGCACACGAAGTCGGCCAGTCTCCCTGTCCCCAAGCCCCACCCCGTGGATCAGGCCAGTCTGTGCCCGTGAAACAGGCTTCCCTGCAAATGGGGCCAACGACAGGGTGGCCCCACTGAGATGGGACCGCTCTGGCCCCCCTGCCCTCCTGGTCCTCCTTGCCCTCTGCACCACCACTGCTCGGGCAGCATCCGCCGGAGAAGCCTGAGAACTGTCCCCCCCGGCGGGCTGCATGGCCAAGGCCCCTCTCTCCAGGGGGTCCTGTGCTCCCCCGGAGGCGACAGGAGGGAGCACCAGGGTCTCTCATGTTCCCTGAGCCCCAGGAGCTGGCCAGGCCGACAGGACGAGCCTCTGCCCAGGCAGGTGCCAGGTCCCAGCAGGCCCTTGGCTGCCCGGGGAAGTGGCAGGAGTGACCCTTGGACTCAGGAGCTGGGAGAGAATTGCCCTCGGACCAGGCCTGCCCTGCGCGCTGCAGGGTGCTCTGATGAGGGCAGAAGGGGGCACCCAGAAATCTGGCGGACGAAACTGAGTCCACTTCCTCCCCAGAGTCCGCTCAGGGCTGTGCCCGTCCACCTCCTTGTCAGCCTGTCTGCTCTCAGCGCCGGGGTCCAAGCCCCTGGGAGGTGGTCTGGAGGCCGGATGAAGCCTCAGCTTTGTTGCCAGACAGACGTGGGTCCCAAGCCCATCCCTGCTCACTGCACCGTCTGAGTGTCTGTCCTCACCTGTCCACAGGCTGCTGACACCTGCGCCTGGCATAGCCCTGGCTCAGAGCCGCCCTCAGCGAACACGAGACCAGGAATTCCAGGGCTCTCAGTCCCTGATGAACTTGAACATCACAATCACCTCTTCTTCTGGGCCTCAGAGTCAGACAGACACACGCCCTGTTTATCTCCCTGGGGCCTGCGTGACTTCAGCTTCCTGGGCCCTGCAGGGCACCCTGAGCGGTCCCCACCCACGGCTCCCACCCTCCCTCACTGACACACCTGCGTGGTCCACCTCACGCTTCCGGAGTCCCACTCACCTGGTCCGTCTCACACTCCCGCTTGCAGGTGCTCTGGGCATCCACCCAGAGGTTGGGGTTCATGTCGTTGGGGCAGATGCCAGCGTGGGAATAGCGGAGGGGCGGCAGTGCCAGGCCTCTCGGTGGCACCCCGAGCAGCAGCAGCAGCAGCACCGCCACCTGCCCCCAGCGGGAGCAGAACCGGGGGCCTCCCAGGACCCACATGGTGCGGTCTGCGGCGGCCAGAGGCCTCCCTGTGACGCTGCCAGGGGCTGGACCCACCGGCGCCTTCTCCCTCTCGGGGCTGCAGACACCTGCCCTCACCCCCACCCGCAGCAGGCGTCCTTGCCGCTGGTCAGGCTGCGGCTGCCCAGGCCGCCTCCAGCGAGTCAGTGGAGCCCGCTGAGTTGTGCGGCTTCAGAGGAAAGAAAGGTCTTTGCAAGGAACCCCCCTCTCCTGAGTGAGCGGGGAGGGGAGCCCCAGCAGGGGCCCGGCCGGGATTTATATCCTGGGCGCCCCCCGCGTGGGAGCGAGCTAACCTGATGCCTGTCACAGGCCGGCTGCGGCTCCTCTGTCCCGGCTGACCACAGACTTTTGCAGAAGGAAAGAAAGCTGGAAGCAGTTTAGGCGGCGTATCTGGCACGGTGGGACACCTGCTTGTTTTTGACTCCAGGAGGCCTTTAACCCCTTCAGGGGCCAGAAATGGCATGTGCTTTGGGGGAGCTGGCTCCGGGACACGCACGCTCACTGTGCAGGAGCGGCGTGTTTCCCTCTCCCCCACCTCCCCGGCCGGCCCCCTCCTCCCGGGGGCCACCTCTGCAGAACACACAATCGCTTGTTACAAGGAGGGACCTGCCGCCGCAGGGTTCGCATCGCCCGGCCCGATAGTACATTTGAGAGCAAATGACGTGGAAAAACAACAAGTTCACGGCCGTTCGAGGGCGGGCCTGAGCAGCGGCGTGCGGTGTAAGCAGACTCCCACCCCAGCACTGGGTCCCTTTGGGGGATGGGGGTGGGGGGCGTGCACCGACAGTTCCCTATCTTTCTATCCCGGGCAGTTTGGTCTCAAGTTCCAACTTCGGTGAATTTTCCCCAAATCATTCCAGACACACATACCAGATACGCTCTGGCTCCCCGGCTGCCGGGATGTATCACATTCCCTGCTCCTCCGCTGACACACTTCTGGCTCCAAGAAAACCTACGGGTGTCTTGGGGCGCCGGGCAGCCGAGCAGCCCTGGCTCTGGCCCAATGGCTGCGTTCGGGGAGCTCTTTCGGGGTGCCAGGCACTTTGCAGTTGTCTCATTTACCCCCGACCTTACAGAGAAGGAGAGAGCAAGGGACTTGCCCACGGTCGCCCACAGGAAGCAGCGACAGCATACCATTTACTAATATTTACTGGGCTCCTCACAGGTGCCGGCTGTCCGTACGCGGCATCTCGCTTAATCCTCACACACTGTACCTTTATTTTAGAGTTGAGGAAGGAAGGCACAGAGAGGCTAAGCAACTGGCCAGCGTCACACAGCCACGGCTCCATTAATATGCGAAATGGGAACGCCAGCTTGCGGGGCCCTCTGGAAACCGCTCCACCCACCCCATCCGTCAGAACTGCTGTCCAGGTACATGCCAGACTCGGGTGTTCACAGGCTGGATGCGAAGTGCGTGGAACCCCAGGGGCTGTGTCTGTAGAGGGGCCGGGACCAGGGCCAGGAGCTGCTGGGGGTGGGGGTGACTTCCCTCCTGTTTTGGCAGGAGATGGCTCCCATCTAAAATGCCCTGTAAAGGGGAACAGGCTGGCTGAGTGTTTTTGACTTGGTCACTCGATCCCCAGGGGATAAGAGATGGGGAGACAGGTTCCTAGAAGGGGCACTTTGTCAAGGTCAAGCCCTGTCGGATTTGGGGAGCAGCATCTGAGCTGCTGTGTCTCAGGATGGTGGGCGGGGTGGGCACAGCACGTGTCAGAGCCAGAAGGGACCCGGAAGGTCCCGGGCAGTGCTCCCATTTTACAGATGGGCAAACTGAGGCCTGAACCCAGGTCCCCCCCTTTCCCAGGCCCACTCTCCCCCACAGGGCTGCAGCTCACCATCCACTTTGACCGCGAAAAGGCAGCGGCCTTTTTCCTACCCTGCAGACCCCTTCCCTGCCTCTCGGGGTGGTGTGCTGCCTTCTCCTACCCAAGCCAACGCCTTCCTGTTGTGTGGGTCATTCCGCAAGATCTGTCTTTCCTGCTTATGTCAAAGAGTTAATGAAGGGTGTCAGAGCCTAATCCTCTAAATTACTGGAATAAACTTCCCTCCGAGGCCAGGCCCAGTAATGAAGCCAGACAGCGGGCGGCGCCGGCTGCTTTGAATTCCCTGTAATTTCATAAACCCGGGTTCCAGCTGCTCCGCGTGAGGCCTCCGCACACGCTGGCTGGACGGACGCGGTGTGAGCAGCCTCCTTTGATACCACAAAGGGAAATGGACGGTGACACATTTCTAAGCAGGACTTAGGAAAATTGTCACAGCCCCATTAGGTGAGGACAAGTATCCAGGGAGAGGAGGCTGATTTCTGGGGAGTCGCTTGAGAGCATTAGAGGGGGCGGGAGTACGGGGAGGAGGAGGGACACGGAGCAGAGGGGGAGGGGGAGGGGCAGTCAGCAAAGCAGGGACCGCTGGGCTCCTCGCGCTGCTCCAGGTCGATGCAGAAAGCCCTGGCCCAGCCCCTTCGAGAGCCACGGCCTCCCTGTCCCAGGGCCCCATCCCGGCCACGCTGCTCTGAGATCTCTCAAAACCGCATGGGGGAGAAGGAGCCTAGAGCTCTCCAGCTTCACGCTCAGCCCTTCCAAGTCTCCCACCAAAACACAGCTCAGAATAATAAATAACATCTGATCAGGGCTCGGAGCCCACACTGCGTCTTCACGCCATCGGCACCGCTGGCCCTCGCGCCAACCCCAGGAGGGAGCCCGGGGGAGGCTGCCGGGAGCTCTGGTGAGCAGAAGAAACCGAGTCACAGAGCGGTGAGCTGGCCGCCCCTCAAGGCCTCCTCTCCCAGACCCCGGGGCCTGTGCTCTTGGCACAGCCCCGTGCAAGCCTCCAGCCCCTCCAGCAAGGCCCCCCCTGGCCGCCCCGCCAGCCCCGCCTGTTTGTAAGCTGCTCTGGGAGCGCTTTGAAGTCTCTTCTCCTGGCCCCTGGCTCTGCCTGACTCTGTCTCCCTGGAACTCTGGTGGCTGGCGTGGACCGCCCCCCGCTCTCCCCGCCCCCAACCTCTGGTACCAAGTGAGGGCTCAGCCGCCCACTCCCACTGTCCACCAGGCGATCCCCACCCCCCACCCCCAAGAGCTGGTCTCTGGGGAGTGGAACCTGGCGGGTGGGCCTGACCTTGGGGGTGACCCTTGCCTTTCCTCCTCCCCCAGGGCATTGGGCACAGCTGGGTCAGAGAGAGGGCTGGGCTCTGACTGCAGCTCAGAAGAGCCCCCGCCCACACCCCTGCTGAAGGGCAGGGAGACCACAGACCCTTCACGCCCTCCAGGGTGCTTTCAAGGCCTCTTGTAGGTGCATCACCCCGACAGTGAACTCTGGGTGACCCCTGACCTCAGGTCCCCATTTAGCATAACAATGCCTGAGCCGCTAGGGCCTTGACAGGACAACAGAGCTGACACCACTTTACAAACTGGCCAGCCCTCTCCCCTCCAGGGACCTCAGCCACACCGGTGGTGGGGATGCCCAGCATGGGCAGCCACTCATCACACACCAACCTCTTACCTCGCCAAGCATCGCCTCCCTCTTTTCCTACTTGATTTTTAAACAATGATGTATGTATGTATGTATTTATTAGAGAGAGAGGAGAGAGAGAGAGGAAGGGAGAGTGAGAGGAAGAAACATCGATGAGAGAGAAACATTAACACCGATTGGCAGCCTCCTGCACACACCCTATTGGGGATCGAGCCTACAACCCAGGCATGTGCCCTGACCTGGAATCAAACCAGTGACCTCTCAGTGCACAGGAAGACGCCCAACCAACTGAGCCACACCAGCCAGGGCACCTACTTGATGTGTTTGAAGGCACCTACTATGTGCTGTTCTGGGTACACAGAGATAGATGCAGTCCTTGTTCTCAGAGAGGGCACCGTCTTGGCCAGAAAAGCCTGACGGGAGAGTAAACGCTGTCTTGGGGCCTTACAGGCGCGGGGAGCAGGGAGGAAGGGGAGAGGCCTGGGGTTGCTGTTGCACAGCCGTGACCTGGGTGGGTCTTGAAGCCTGAGCAGGAGTCTACTAGGAGGCGGCTTCCTACACTTCTCCTTGGAAAGTGCTGGCTCACAGCACAGCCTGCTCAGCCAAGGCCCCCCTCCTCGGGCCCAGGCCTCCAGGAAGGGGGAGTGAGAGGGAAGCCAGTGGGTTTAGGAGACAAGGGGGAGAGGGGGAGCTGCAGGTCTTGCTTCCGCATGGGGCAGCCTCAGCAAAGTCAAACCAGCAGCCCATTCTGGTCCACCCTGCGCGGCCCCCAGACTGGAGCCAAATGGATGGGAGAGGCCAACGCCCAGGGAGCCTCCTTGCCCCGATGCTGTCAGTCAAACATATTTGGGGAGGAGGAAGGATTTCAGAAGCCGGGATTGGGGTTCGGGGGAGAAGAAGTCCTTAGTGAGGGTGCTCAGACGGCTTCTCAGAAGGCTGGGCTGCCTCAGCTGAAGGCAGTGATTAGTCAGATCCAAGCCGGGGAATTCAATAAGCCGGCTGCTCGTTACCCAGCTGGGGACCCCCTGCCCGAGCGGCCGTGGCCTGGGTTACATTACAGGGCTGTGTGAACTCTCCCCTCCAAGTGAGACGGCACCGGGCCTTGGAATAATTACGGGGCCTCAGCAGATGGTGGAGGCGGACGGACGGGGGAGGCCTTCAGCTGTGGGACACGTGACCACCGGCATCTGTGCAGAGCGGGACATGGGAGGGTCCACGCTGGGCCCCGGGGGAGGCAGTGCTGAATCGAGATCTGAGAGTTATGGGGTTGGCCGTGGTGGGGCACGACCCAGGGCCTTGGGCCTCCTTTAGACTCTGGCCTGAGCCAGGGGGGCATGCTGGGCGGGGGTGGGGGGGAAGTCTCTGGAAGCTGGAGTACAGTGTCTGAATGGATCTCTGTGTTATGAAGCAAGAACAGGAGACACAACTGGTTCAACACATTTCAGGGCCCCTTCAAGCCTCTAACGCCTCCCCGGAAAGGTGGGCATCAAGGCATCGGTGGATTTCAGCTCCGTGCCAGCCCCACACCCACTTGGGAAGCTCCATGGTGCTTGGGTTGAGCTCCGTGCCAGGAGTCAGGACCCCGGGTTCTCACTGTGGTCTGCCCCCAGCCCACCGCGCGACCACCTCTACGCCCCCATCCGAGGCCCCTTTCAGCTCCCCCCTCTGTGGCCCCATGTCCTGGTTCCTCCAGCTTTGCCTTGGTGGAATCTGCTCTAAGCAGCCCTGAGCAGCTCTCAGCCAAGACAAACACAGGAGAGACGAAGCTAGAAGGGGATGCGGGCCGTGTCCGCGCCACAGCTCTGCTCTGCTGGGCGGGAGCAAGGGCCCTGTTTCCACTGTTCCCAGGCCTGGGGTTCAGCAGGAACGCTGCAAGTAGGGGGATGGCCTCCCTCCGGCTCAGGCCTCCCCCTCCCAGAAGCCTCCCTCCACTACTCAACTCTCTGCCCTCCTGTTCTCTTCCTTGGGGGAGAGAGATGAGGACTCAGGCTCTGGGGTCTCCCTGCTTCCTCGCACTCTGCTGAGCAAAGGGACACGAATTCTCCAAAAACAAACTCACCCCTCAGGCCCCTTTCAGCAGCACCAAGTGCACAACGATGGGGGGCGGGGGGAGAGTGAGAAACAGGCCTCCCCCGACTGACAGTTACTTCGGGTCTCCCCACCCTTCACCATGGAGCCGGAGGC